GGAGCTTTTTCTTGTTCATCGTGTCTCCCTTTTAATGTGCGCGCATGGTGGTTTCTCTTCGGGTTCTTCAGCATCCTCGTCATTGCGAGTGGAGTTCATGGCTACACATCCCAAGTGGCACAACGCCCTCCTGAAAGAGCCTGGATTACGGTGATGATTGTAACGACGACGATGATGTTGGGCAAGACCAATATCATAATAACGACGACGATAACGATTGATGAGGATTATTTAAAAGTTTACATTTCTGTAAAGATTATGTCAAACGGTCGGGCAACACTTGGTCTTTGAAATCTACAGTTATCCCGAGGGTGATTTTAATTAGGTGACTTTTCCATTGGAAATTAATTGGGGCCCTAAATAATATAGTGCTTTTAAACGTGCAAGCTCTGTCGTCCTATAATGTGCTGTTTGGCCGACTCCGTGAACGAGTTCGTACCTGGTATCTGGAAGAATAACCGCACGCGTGCTCGGTGGGCTATAACGACAACTCCAACAACATTTGCTGGTCCAAATATTGGATGTTTTGGCCGACTCCATTTAATGGTGGGGGTGGTTTATGTGCCGTAGGAGATTGTAACTTGTTTGCTGTGTACACTTTAATTACATTGTTAATTAAATTACATTGTTAATTAAACTCCAAGAAAAGTAGCCGACATAAGCCCTGCTGTAAATCTGGCAACCCCCCCCTTAAGATCTTCTCATGCTGCCCGGCTTAGTGAGAGAGGCTCAGCTTTTTTAAATCTCAAGCACGCCGTTAAATGAGAACCTCGTCATATAAATAACGCTGGGAAAATACAAAGTGCCCCTTTTGTTCTACAGCTGCGCTAAGAAGTTTCGTATGGTTTCTTTAATTTGCCGTGCTCCCGTTTTAAACTTTGGTCGCTGGCGGGGAGGGGGGGGGGCTTTGGGGGGGGGCAGGGGTTGGGGGTGCCAGCAGGGTGGCGCAACCAGGTTACCGCTGGCGCCTCCACAGCAGGAAGGCCCCCCCCCCCCCACCCCCCGTGGGTTCGCAACGGAGGGTCCCCTGGGAGGGTCGCGGACCTCCCAGCGGGCGGCGCATATGCCGCCCGTCGCCGCCCGTCGCCGAGGTTTTCGCGGTACGGATCTGCCGGCCGACCTGGTTAATAGCGCGCCGCGGCGTTACGACCACCAAGGGGTGGCGATTTTTAATAATAATGCCACGGTTGCTGCGTGCCGTCCGCTTCACTTTCACGGCGGACGTTTAAGGATCCCGCGACGTCGTTCGCGAAGAGGTGGGGCCCGGTGTCGGCGGTCCAAATTTAGCAAATTGGTAAAACGACTCCGCAAGTTATTTGGTTGGGATTACACAGCAATCGCCGCCGCCCCCAACCCCCCCCCCCCCCTATTAGCAGACTTGACGCACCCAGCAGACTTGACGCTCCCAAGGTCATTCTTGCAAATGACTCGCCCCGAGCCCCCCCTCAGTTCTGCGTACATTTCCTCCTGGGTTCTCCTGGCTTTCCATAACTAAATAAAACAAATGTAAGAAATGAATCACGAAATTATTTATCCCCCCCCCACCACTTCTGGTGGACTGATGTCTCTCGCCAAGCCAGGCGCAGGTGCGGAACCGCCTCGTGCCGCACAGGGACAGCCCCGTTACATTGTGGAGCGCAATATACATGCCTCTTCATTCATTCATCCGCGCTACGTAAGAGGGTATAGGCACAGTCTCTGCAATTTCCTACTCGCGCCCCACAGCTCGAAAAACCGTAGAGAGCCCCTCCTCTTAGCGGGTACCTTTTGGCCTACTCTTCCCACGCTGTGTGCCATTACGTCCTGGAAAAGATGAGAGTATCCCACGCTCCACGCGACCCTCCGATCGTAGAATAACCGCGGTGAAGCCGTTTGCTGGTTGGACAGCCGCGCCGGGAGACGAGAGGAGGACCGGCGACCTCCTGCATCGCAATTCCGGTGGGCTCGCCGGCACGCCACCGTGGTGGTGGAGGTGGCAGCGGCGGTGTGAATATCCCCGCCCGCTCGCGCACGGCAGGTTGCTCATTTCTTTAAAACCGCTTTTTTGCGTTTTAGTTTGTCGTCCGATTTTTTTTTTTGCACGGTTGGCTACGTGCGGCACGAAAGAAGTTCAGCATACATACACAGGTGGCTTCGTCTGCAGCTGTGCTCGAAGGGTTTCGCAAGTTGACCGTCTTTTTCAAATTTAAATGTTACTTGTATTATTCCGCTTAATGCGTAGGCTTTCTCGACCCAGTATTTGTCCACCACTGGCTTCTGCTGGGTTAGATCACGTGTCCATTAAACCCGCCACCTTTTGGCAGTCGCCTGATGAGGCTGGTTGTAATTACCGGCGAAACGTTGTGGGTTTATTCTCCCACACACACACGGATTTTACCGCTTTGCTTTAGAGACTCGCTCTGCAGCGAATGTGCGTCGCGGCATCCTTGACGGCCACCGTGGAGTAAAGCGGGTGGAGCGCAGCAGCAGCAGTATTACTATTGTCGCGGTTTGTGATTTGGCTCCCAAACCAGTTAAGATAAAGTTGCGGTGTGATGATTAAAACCTTGCCAAAATAAATTGGACGGCGACGCTGTCGCACCCCCGCCACCGCCCCCCCCCCCCACCACCACGCCCTTGCTGATGACGTCGCAGGGTCTTTAACGTCCGCCGTGAGCGAAGCGGGCCGGGCGCGATGGCGTTGCTGCGGGGCCAAACGCCGGGTCCGATCCACTGCTGGATGAGGAATGCCCCCCCTCCCCCACCCTCTTTTCACGTCCGTGCGGAGGAGGGGGGTGGGGGTCTCCTCTGTAAAAAAAAAATGTGATCGTACTTCACCGCGCTGGTGAGCGCAGGTTTGAAGATGGGGGGGGGGGGGGGGTGAGCGAGCGTGGAATGTACGGTCCAACACCGACTGGCCCACCAGTCGGCTATCGCATGCAGCGGAAGTTCCTGCAGTGACTTTCAGAGGTCAAGACGGCCTTGGCCCTCGATACCGGCTGTCCCGTTGGGGCCCCCCGAGACTCCGTCTGGTAGACACACTCACCTTGCGCTCGTTAGGCCGCAGGCCTTGCGAGCACAACCTGGTGGAATTTCGATTTGAAGCTTTCGTGACTGCAAGGGTTCATCTTCTTTGGTTCTTTCGGTAGAGTCACGTAGAATGAGAATAAAATAATAAAATAACACAAATTCTCACGACGTTTCGGCCACAATGGCAAGCGGTCGTTGTGGCCGAAACGTCGTGAGAATTTTATTGTGTTATTTTATTATTTTATTCTCATTCTACGTGGTGACTTTACCGAAAGAACCAAAGAAGATGAACCTGGTGGAATGTTTCGCTCCGCGCTGGGCAGTAGTGATGCGTGTCCCGGGGCCTTCTCGAGTTTGTGGCGCCTGAGATCTGGATCCGCTCTACCCGCCGGCCCTCGGATTTGTCCGCAGAGCGCCGAGCAGTTCGGTCAAACTCTGCCAAGAGCCTCTTTCTTTCCTTTTTTTCGATTTTCCTTGCTTCCCCCGCCCACCCCCGTCATTTTTTTTTAAAAATGCGTGCGTCTCGATTTTACAGGTCGGGACTACCTCCGTTCAATGTCCACTGCGCATTGTTGTGATGCCCTCCTTTCGTGGGGGGAGGAGAGGAGAGGAGGGGGGGTGGGTGCGAGTGTTTACTCAAAAAATGAATTGAATTGTGGCTGCCGCACGTGTACCCGGCGTGCATCAGCAGCAGCAGCCGCCTACAGCACCCGTGTCCCGTGCACGATGATCTCGGGCTCGACTCTGCTTTGGCTTGCCAGGCGCGACCAGATCGGACGAATTCCTGGAGATTTGTGTCACGGGCCGTTGTCTCCACACGCACAAAAAAAAAAGTGCATTTCTCAAGTTGCTTCATCATTGCGTCCATGCTGGTTACGTAACCGTGCACTTTACACCTGCTCGTCAATCCACTGCTGGACGGAAGCACCTCCCACGTGCCGTGTCCCGTCACTGGGTGTACTCGTTTGACCCGTGCTTCACCGCGCGGGTTGGTGGGTGGACGCTCCTCGGCGAGCACCTGCTGTAGGTGTGGTTAGAACCGTGTTCCCCCCCCCCCCCCGGGATAGACGGTGCAGAAGGAGCGGGGAGAGGCGTTGCCGTGCGTGCGTGCTCGCTCGCTCGCTCAGACCTAACAACGTCATCCCGTGCTCGTTGGGGGAGGAAAGCGAATTGGGGTGCGGCTCGGGCAGGAATGAGTCATGGCCACAATTCGATGGGCTCAACGAAGTGGGCTTATCGTCGCGTGGAAATTTACCGCGGCCGATCCTCAATGCGGTAGGGGGAAAACCAAACAGGACCCCTGGAGAAAAAAATCCACGCGGCCACGTGGAGAGGGAGACTTGCACACTCCCAAATAAATACAGGTGTGTCGGGGACTGGATCGAATCCACGACCTCCTGCACACCGGGCGAGGTAGTTAACATCCCCTAGCCACCGTGACGCCCTAATAAGGGGATGGAACACTTCCGGGAGAGAGCGACCGCCGGTCTCGCGGAGATGGAGCGGCGGGATTTGATTTGTGTGCGCGAGGCTGTGTGGAATCGCTGCGGGGCTGGGACGGCGACGGCTTGGAACGAGGCCTTCATCCAGCAGTGGATAGGCCACGGCTGCTGTTGCCGCGGCTGCTGATCATGACGACCTGTTGCATGCGTGTCTGTGTCCGTGTGTCTGCGCCTGTGGGGAGCGGTGGTGCAGCAGGTCAGCGCGCTGCGCTACGAACCCGGTGACGCCGGGTTCAATTCCCGCTCACGGCTAACACCGGTGACGATTATCTGAACCGGTCCTGGGCCGCCCCTAGGTCGACTCGGCCTCAAATGAGTACCTGGTGCCGTGTGTAAACATCGCAAAATGCGGCCGGGCGTGGTGCTGGTCAGCCACCCCCTCGTGTGCCGTGCTGGCCTGCATAGGTGCTACTCGCTAACAGCACTTGCCCCAACAGTCTAAGGCTATATGGGGGATCTTTGTCTTTTTGTGTGTGTGTGTGCCTACAGAGACCACGCCGTGCCAACCCCGTCCATCCCAAGCCCGTCGGGATTCTTCTCGTCCCAACGTGATTGGACCGGAGTCGACTTGAATCTGCCCCAGCACTGACCCAGCCGAGTCCGGTCCAGTCTGGTCCGGTCCAGCAAGGTCCAGTCCGGTCCAGCAAGGTCCAGTCCGGTCCAGCAAGGTCCAGTCCGGTCCAGCCCAGGTCCAGTCCGGTCCAGCCAAGTCCAGTCCGGTCCAGCCAAGTCCAGCCATGCTCACGGCACTCACCGCCGACGCCACGAGGGCGTACCAGAACTGGATCAAGGATGCAGGTAAACGCCGGAGGAGCCGGATCGAAAGGCGTCGATGATGGACGTAACTTTTTTTTTCGGGCAGAGTCGACCTAGTGGAGGACCAGGACAGGCTGTCGTACATGCGTCACCGGTGTACGCGTGTCAATCTCCATTTTTCCTGCGTGGATGCGTCCGTGACGATAGTTTGAACTTGTCCCGGACCTCCCCGATTTCGAATCGCCCTCCATTGTGTTAAACTCGGGAGACGACAAAAGCGGCTGGGCGTGGTGCTGGCCCACCCACCTCTTTTTTTGTGTGCCACAGTGTCGGCCTTCATAGGTGCTGCTCCTCGCTAACAGCACCAACAGGTCTGTTAAGGCAATCGGGTGGGGGGGGGGGGGGGGGGGGGCCGGGTATCTTTGTCCAAGTCTCCAAGCACCCCCACGAAATCCCACTGCTACCTCCACGTGTCTCCCATGCGTCCCGTGTCCATCCACACGGACCCCACGTGCCCCACCCAACACCTCCATGAAATACCATCGCAATACCAAACGCTCGTGTGCGCGCGTGATCCCCGTGTCTCTGCGTGTCCCCCCTCCCCCCCCGCCAGACCCCCGCGTGGCCGACTGGCCGCTCATGTCGTCACCGCTGCTGCAGACGGTGATCCTGGCGGCCTACGTTTACTTCGTCAAGCGCCTGGGCCCACGCCTCATGGAGAACCGCAAGCCCTTCGAGCTCAAGGGCGCCCTCGTCGCCTACAATGCCGCGATGGTCGTCTTCTCCATCTACCTGTGCTACGAGGTGAGTGGGGGGGGGGGGGGGCAGAGGTAGCGTAACGAATCCGGCGGGACGAGTTCGATCCCCGGTGACGGATATCTGAACCGGTCCTGGGCCTCCTCTAGGTCGACTCGGCCTCAAATGAGTACCTGGTGCGGTGTGCAAACATCGCCACTGAGGGGGAGACGAATCGGCCGGGCGTGGTGCTGGCCACCCACCCCCTCGTCCCTCGTGTGCCGTGATGGCCTTCAAAGGTGGCCTGCTAACAGCACTTAGCCCCAACAGTCTATTCAGGCTATACGTAAGAGAACGAACGAATGAAATGATTGCACGTGTATGTACGTCGATGTTTTATGGCAGGTGGACGTCAGCCCACGTGGCCACTGAACCACGTGACAACTAAACAACTATTTAAACTAAACTTTTATTCTTTTTATTTTACCAGGTAAGGTCCAATACTGAGCATTTTTAATGACGAGGCCCTCGGGGAGAGGGGAGAGGCCCTCGGGGAGAGGGGAGAGGCCCTCGGGGAGAGGGGAGAGGCCCTCGGGGAGAGGGGAGAGGCCCTCGGGGAGAGGCCCTCGGGGAGGGGGGAGAGGCCCTCGGGGAGAGGCCCTCGGGGAGAGGCCCTCGGGGAGAGGCCCTCGGGGAGAGGCCCTCGGGGAGAGGCCCTCGGGGAGAGGCCCTCGGGGAGAGGCCCTCGGGGACCTACCATTGGGTGGATCATCCGTAATAATGCCACTTAGAATTGTACGCAAACAGAAACTCATGAGAATTTTCGGTCTTTGCCTCCCTCCAGTTCCTGATGTCGGGTTGGGCTACTGGCTACACGTACCGGTGTGACCTCGTCGACTTCTCAAACTCTCCGCAGGCCGTCAGGGTGAGCGCACGCACACACGCGCGCACACACACACACAACAAAAACAACCGCCATTCGCCATTAAGTGGCGGTGACGTCACCACGACGCTTGTGCCAGGCCATGTGCACCTTGAGGCCACGTGAAGTGTCGATCGCCCGCGGGCAGGAGGTCACGGGGCAGACCCAAGTGCCACAGGTCGACTGACTGAGATGACTGAGATGACTGGCTGATGCACCACCTGTGCCCCCTACTGTGCCAACCTTCTGTGCTTTAGCCACCCGGCGCTCCGCTCGTTGTTGTGAGCGTCGCACCTCCGCCCTCCGTTGTTGTTGGAGGGCGACTGCCTCCAACTACCCAGTAGCGTCCTTCATGAGCCTCCTCCACAGAGGCCGATCTTGACACCGCTGGTACCAGTCATCGGCAAGTCCACTCAGCTCCACGTCCTCCTGTACCACATCACTCCATCTCTTCTCTAGCCCATGCCGCGCCCATTTAGCCCCCTCGATCCGACCGAACAAAAGCTGTTTCGGCATGCGGTGGCTGGGCATGTGGGCTACATGACCCAGCCAACGCAGCCTTGCCTGCTGGAGGAGCTCACCGATGGGACCTTGCCCAGATCTTTCAAGGATTTGCGAGCTCCTCACACAATCCAGTCTGGTTAAACCCAGGATGGATCGTAGGCAGGCCAGCCTAAATGTTTCTAACCGGCGAAGATGTTCCATTAGGGGGGTCCACGTTTCACAAGCGTAGAGAAGGGAGGGAATGACCGTGGCTGAGAAGACACACACACAAACACACACACGCGCACACACAAACACACGCACAACGATATATCCTGCACAGACCTTCAGGGCAAGTACGGTTGACGAGCAACCTTTGAAGACCGGTAATGCCTACCAGGGGGTGGTGTGACCAGAACTACCCCCGGCCGCCTTTGTCTCCCCCGAGTGCTGCTGTTTTTTACACAGACGGCACCGGGTAATCGTTCAAGGCCGAGTCGACCTAGGGGAGACCCGGGAATCGGGGCAAATATTCGCACGCGCCGCGCTTGGACTCTCGCCGAAACCGCGTTGAGGGGAGGTGCTCGTATGGGAACGGACGTATGGGGGGGGGGGGGGTGGGGGGGAGGGAAGCATTGAGTGAAGAATCTAAAGAGAAGGCAAGGAAGCAGGTGAAGGAGTTGAATGAACAGGCGGGCAAGGGATGCAGTCGAAGAGGCACAAAAGGAATTAAGAGGTGAAAGAGGGAGGGAAGAAATTAGTACCGGAGTTGAATGATGGGGCGAGGAGGAGGATTGAATTTGGAGGCGGGGGGAATGGCGCGAAGGGGTGAATGAAAGGAGAGGGATGCGGAGACGGGGTGGGAAGCTTTGCGTGGCTCTGCGGGAATGTTCGAGGGAAGTAGCGAAAGAAAGCTCGACCGTGGAATGAAGGCGCCTCCCGGTGAAATGAGCGAAACGAAAGACACGAACGAATGACTGAACGACTGAATGAAGGGAGAGGGAGCGGGGGCACGGGGGGGAGGGGGGGGCGATGCAGGGGGCGGGGGACTGAGCTGCTGGGATTTGGACCGAGCCGATTACCGAGTAATCTGCTGAGCCAGCTCACGGTGGCGTCGCCGCCACCGCCATCGCCACTACCGCCACCGCCATCGCCACTACCGCCACCATCATCGCCACTACCGCCACCATCATCGCCACTACCGCCACCATCATCGCCACTACCGCCACCGCCATCGCCACTACCGCCACCATCATCGCCGCCATCGCCGCCACCGCCATTGCCACTACCGCCACCGCCATCGCCACTACCGCCACCATCATCGCCACTACCGCCACCATCATCGCCACTACCGCCACCGCCATCGCCACTACCGCCACCATCATCGCCGCCATCGCCGCCACCGCCATTGCCACTACCGCCACCATCATCGCCACTACCGCCATCGCCACTACCGCCACCATCATCGCCACTACCGCCACCATCATCGCCACTACCGCCACCATCATCGCCACTACCGCCACCGCCATCGCCACTACCGCCACCATCATCGCCACTACCGCCACCATCATCGCCACTACCGCCACCATCATCGCCACTACCGCCACCGCCATCGCCACTACCGCCACCATCATCGCCGCCATCGCCGCCACCGCCATTGCCACTACCGCCACCGCCATCGCCACTACCGCCACCATCATCGCCACTACCGCCACCATCATCGCCACTACCGCCACCGCCATCGCCACTACCGCCACCATCATCGCCGCAATCGCCGCCACCGCCATTGCCACTACCGCCACCGACATCGCCACTACCGCCACCATCATCGCCACTACCGCCACCATCATCGCCACTACCGCCACCGCCATCGCCACTACCGCCACCATCATCGCCGCCATCGCCGCCACCGCCATTGCCACTACCGCCACCATCATCGCCACTACCGCCATCGCCACTACCGCCACCATCATCGCCACTACCGCCACCATCATCGCCACTACCGCCACCATCATCGCCACTACCGCCACCGCCATCGCCACTACCGCCACCATCATCGCCACTACCGCCACCATCATCGCCACTACCGCCATCGCCACTACCGCCACCATCATCGCCACTACCGCCACCGCCATCGCCACTACCGCCACCATCATCGCCACTACCGCCACCATCATCGCCACTACTGCCATCGCCACTACCGCCACCACCGCCATCGCCACTACCGCCATCGCCACTACCGCCATCGCCACTACCGCCACCACCACTACCGCCACCGCCATCGCCGCCACTGCCATCGCCACTACCGCCACCATCATCGCCTCCACCGCTATCGTCACTACCGCCACCGCCATCGCCATTGCCACTACCGCCACCGCCATCGCCACTACCGCCACCGCCATCGCCACTACCGCCATCGCCACTACCGCCACCATCATCGCCACTACCGCCACCATCATCGCCACTACCGCCACCATCATCGCCACTACCGCCACCGCCATCGCCACTACCGCCACCATCATCGCCACTACCGCCACCATCATCGCCACTACCGCCACCGCCATCGCCACTACCGCCACCATCATCGCCACTACCGCCACCATCATCGCCACTACCGCCATCGCCACTACCGCCACCACCGCCATCGCCACTACCGCCATCGCCACTACCGCCATCGCCACTACCGCCACCGCCATCGCCGCCACCGCCATCGCCACTACCGCCACCATCATCGCCTCCACCGCTATCGTCACTACCGCCACCGCCATCGCCATTGCCACTACCGCCACCGCCATCGCCACTACCGCCACCGCCATCGCCACTACCGCCACCATCATCGCCACCATTGCCACCTCCACTTTCGTCACCAATACTGTCACAATCACCACCCTCGCCAATACCACCTCCACCAACGCCACTACCACCACCACTACCACCACTTGCACCATCGCTACTGCCACTGCCACCGCCACCATCGCTGTCACGACTACCGTCATCACGAGCATCACCGCTACTGCCACCATCACAGCCACCCACTGCTGCAACCACCACCACTACACTACCACCGCCACCAATCACCACCGTGACCACCGCCATCTCCTGGCAATCGTTGCCTGGCCTGCCACGGCCCGGTGTGCAGGCCGGCGGGGTGGGGTGGGGGTGGGCGACGTCACATTGCCTCGCGCTGGCGTGAGACGGAGAGGGGGCAGTGGGGGGGGGTAAGGGGCGTTCGTTATTGCATAATCGGCCCAAGGAATCGGGAGATACGAGAGAGAGAGAGTGAGCAATTTTCATGACATATTTAGGATACAGCCTGTCACTTATTATAACTAAGAAAAAAAATGCCCCGATTTCCTTGGGCCGATCCTTTTGGGACATGGCACGTTGGGTTCGTCTTGAGGGGCTCTCCCCCATGTGTGTGTCGGTGATTCCCGAGGGAAGTTGCCAGCGGTCACAGTTTCGTGACTGGCCTCTTGTTGCGTTGTTGTTGTTGTTGTTGTTGTTGTTTACGACGCAAGTCCTGGGCAAGTGAGATGATAATTGCGTCGATGCACCGCAGCGATCCATCTTGCCGCCCTGCGTCGTAACAATCGCAAGTGAAATAATCTACAGCGCCGCCATCACCTCCACTGCTGGACGAATATTCCTACGCCGGGGGCAAACACATCAATGGGGATGACAACCGCCTGTTGACTCCCCCCCCCCCCGCCCCCACACGCACAAAGTGGTGTTCATTTTATCGACCCTGGGATGCTGGTGGGGTGGTGGTGATAATTGGCCGAGGCAGCCCGCGGTAGATTTTTTGTTTGTTTTTATTACAGCCACGCACTGTCTCCAAACTTGTTTAGCACGGAATTCACGTTGGGGCGGGCGGGGGGGGGGGGGGTTCATCACTAAATAATATTTTTTTAAATATGTAAAACATAGAGAGGGGAGTCTGTTGCTCTCTTTCCGGTACAGCGAGAAAGAATTCATTGTTTGTGGCCGTGGGAGGTAGGCGCGAGGGGGTTGGGTGCAGTTGGCAGATAAACGAGGTGGTGGTGGTGGGTTGTTGTGTAATTCTGACTGAGCCGCGGGCAGGGGGCAGGGGAGGGGCGGCTTTGGTTTGGCTGAGGTGCGGCGGAGTTTCTAAAGGGGATGCCGATGAGTGCGGAGCGGTGGAAACAATCCCGGGCTGTGTCCGACGTCTCGCGTGCGAGGATCCGTCGTCGCGTTCGACAACGCGGACCCCCAACCCCCCCCCCCCCCTCCCTTCTATATCATTGCCCAGTGATCAAGATGTACATGCCGAAGCTCCGGCGTGAAGTCTATTAGCCCCCCCCCACCCACTCCGCTTGCCCGTGTTCGCTGACGCTCGTACCAAAGGCAAAGATCCCCTCCCGTGTCGTGTAGCCTCTCGCAGGCCAGGTGGGGCAAGCGCTGGCGGTGAGTGGCCAACACACCACGGCCGGGGCCCGGGACCGGCCTTTGCTGATGTGTACACGCCGCAGCGGATACTTCCATTTTGAGGCCGAGTCCGACCCCAAGGGGAGACTCGGGACCGGTTCAGATACATTTGATTCTGAACGTGGAGAGGGGGAAGAATCTGGAGGACCCGGAGGAAAATCCACGATAACATCTCGCCACCGCGGCACCCCCATCAACATCCTGGCGGTATCGCTGCAATCCTTGGATCGGTTGAAACAAACTTGGCGTTCAACTACAACGCGTTCCAACAACTCTTACGTGTTGTTCCTGCCGCCCGAAAGAAGTTAAACTTCAACCTAAACTCGTTTTTATTTTACCAGGTAGAGCCCGCTGAACTTACTAGCTCCATTTCAGAAGCGACCTGTTCACAATTCCCAGCTCAGCGATGTCTCTTATCACGTGGACATTTACGGCATCCAAATACTCTAAACTCATGTTGATTATAAATGCGGAGGGGAAAACCGGAGGTCCGGAGAAAAATGCACGCAACCACGGGGAGAGGAAGAACACGCAAACTCCAAATACATACAGGGGTTGGGACTGAACCCACGAACCTCCTGCACACCTGGCAAGGTAGTTAACATCTCGCCACCACGGAGAATGAACGAAACAACTTGGCGCCCTCTAGCGGCGGCACGGCCACACTGAGCTCCCCACGGCCACGCTGGAATCAAAGTCTTTATTTGTCCTGGTTGGAATCCGATGAGCTATGAAGCTCTTCCTTTCTCACGGGTGTTCAGTAGGGGGCACGGGGGTCAGCAACGACCCGGCCCACGTTGCATTGTGGAAGCCGTCGCTGCATTTTTGGCTCCTGAACCAGCGTGGTGAAGTATGGTTCAGTCATCCCCACCGCCCCCCCCACCAATGACCGTCACGGGCCATGGCTCCGGAGGACTGCGTTTAGTTTCTTGTCCTTCCCCCGCACCGCCGATTAGCACTTCGGCTACGCACGGTGCGAAAGAAGTTCAACGCTCGTTATGTAGTAGGATGAGTCACTGGAGCGCATGCCGCCGGGCGATTGGGAGGCAATAGAATTATGGGTAACAGCCAATTCTACGAGTTTCACTTGGGGGGGGGGGCAAGGCACGGAGCAATCTGGGGGATCCAGAGGGGTTCGGGGGGGGGGGGGCCCGAGGGCGGAGCCTGGCCACGCCGTTCAGTTTATCAGGCGAGCTCCGATTCAGCCGGGGCTGCTGCGGTGGGGAATGGAACTGGTCGTTGTGATCGTCTCCGCTCTGTAGCCGTGGGTCTGGCAGCATGCTGGCTGTCCCCGACCCAGTATGGAGTTATCCCCGAAGGCTGTTAAGGCCGGAAATAGAGTACCTCCAACTAGTGTCTCGAGTTTGGAACGCTTACGCGCACGTGCATCCATCGGTAACGCAGGCAAAGGGCTGCACACGTGTGTTTCAGATAATCTAGAGAGCGTTTTGTCCGTGTACAAAGCGATGGTTTATTGTTCACCAGCGCGCGAGGAGGAAAGACACCGGAGCAGCCGGTCAAGCGGTCACGCTTGTTAAGCGAAATGAACAGAACCCCTTCCCGTTCCGATTTTACGTACGCACAGAGGGCCGTACATCGGAAGCTTTTAGCAGTCGCCGTTGTCCAATCTCCCCGCACTCTCTCCCTCCTCTCCCCACACTCTCTCTCTCTCGCTCTCCCCCACAGATGGCGTGGACCTGTTGGCTCTTCTACTTCTCAAAGTTCATTGAGCTTCTCGACACGGTGAGAATGCGGAGGAGTCGCCCCCCCCGACTGCTCACCACACCGGCCAACCACGCTATTCAACCAGTCCCGAATGCTAACCGCACCCGCCAACCGGACTAATACTAAACCCAGCCACACAAGCCAACCAGACCCTACCCCTAACGCTAACCACTAACCATGCTAACATTTTAAGGCAGAATTTCCCTGACCCCGCTGCCACTCTGACCCCGGCTGCCCCTCTGACCCCGCGACCCCTCTGACCCCGGCTGCCCCTCTGACCCCGTGACCCCTCTGACCCCTCTGACCCCGGCTGCCCCTCTGACCCTGGCTGCCCGATTCCCCCGCGCGCTGTCCGAGCAGGTGTTCTTCGTCCTGCGGAAGAGGAATGCACAGGTGACGTTCCTGCACGTGTACCACCACACCATCATGCCCTGGACCTGGTGGTTCGGGGTCAAGTTTGCTCCCGGTGAGTGTCGCCAAGGGGTGGGGGAGGGGGGGGGGTGTCGTGGTCGAAAGGTTTTAAAGCGTCGCGATGTTTTTTGTTTCGAATAAACTTGCGTCGAACACAACGACGTCCGTATTGCCCGCTGTCGGGCGAATCGGTTTTGTCGACCGGCGATTCTGGAGGGGGGTGGTGGTGGGGGGTGGTGGGTGGTGGCGGGATGGGAGCGGCTCCGGGAAGCCGGAGATGGCGCGCTGATGAATCCCCGGGTTCGATACCAGGTCGCCGGGTGCAGGGAGGGTATTCCGAGTTTATTTTCGTCCGGCGAGGTGGTGAGAACGCGACGGACAAGGAACTGCATCGTTCGCACGAGCGGCACCCCCCCCCCCCACCCACCCCATCCGTGTGTTGCCGAATCGTCAGGAGCGACGGCTTACAGCTCGGTAGCGGCGATGAAGCCACCTAGAAATCGGAACTAAAACGGCTGCATCGCAGCGGGAAACCGAAAATATTTTTGGTGCAAATTTAAATTTGCGCTTTGAAAATTACGCGGCGAGTCTGCTCGGGAAGATTTATTTTGAACGACGGGAACGCGGAACGGGACTGTCGGGAAGACCGCCGTTGTACGAACGTGTAAACGGACAAGAATACACGCAGGCGTGCGTCGCTCAGGCCACACCACCCAGTCCACGCCGCCACAAGCGCCATGCCCGCCACCCGAACAGGCGCTCGCTAGCTACCCAGCATGCACCTGTGTGGACGCGGATTGGAGCGGTGGCGCAGCGGTGAGTGCACTGCGCTACGAACCCGGTGATCGGAGTTCGATTCCCGCTCGCGGCCACCAACACCAGTGACGATTACCTACCTGAACCGGTCCTGGACCTCCCCTAGGTCAACTCGGCGTCCAAATGAGCACCTGGTGCGGTGTGTAAACATCGGCCAGTAGGGAGACAAAGGCGGCCGGGCGGGCGTGGTGTTAACACCCCCCCATCCTCTCGTGTCGTGCCGGCCTTCGCAGATGCTCTCTTTCACAGCACTTGCCCCAAACGTTCGTTAAGGCTAATACAGGGGAGGACCGTTGTCATTGTTGTGTGTAATCTACGCATGTGACATGCACGCACCGTTTTGATACTAGGCCCAAAAGAAAGCCGTCTCTGGTGTGGGACCAATCAGTTTCAAGGACAATGCATCATATTATCAGAGTTTGTTTTTTGTTTGCATTCTCACCACAAGTGTTGTGGCGTTAATGCAGACATGATTCCCTGTAAAAGGTTTCAGTTTTGCGTTTTAACATCTTAACACAGCTGTTTTGTTGCCAGAAAAAAGGGGAAAACCTATTCTCATATTTTGGTACTGGCAAAGGAGGTCCCATGATCTTTGTCTGTGCGCGTGAACGCGTGCAGGTGGGCTGGGCTCCTTCCACGGGATGGTGAACTCGTTTGTGCACGTCATCATGTACAGCTACTACGGACTCGCCGCCGCTGGACCCGCCTACCAGAAGTACATCTGGTGGAAAAAATACATGACCGTCATCCAGCTGGTACGTACACGCCCGTACCTGTGCGTGTGTGTGCGGCATTTTCTCTTCATTGGCTGCGTAACGCTGTGTGGAAGCTACCGGCCCTTCTCGGCCACGGTCATGCCCTCCATTGGCTACGCTTGTGAAACGTGGACCCCCCTAATGGAACATCTTCGCCGGTTAGAAACATTTGGGCTGGCCTGCCTACGATCCATCTTGGGTTTAACAAGGCTGGATTGTGTGAGGAGCTCACAAATCTTTGAAAGATCTGGGCAAAGTCCTATCGGTGAGCTCCTCTGGCAGGCAAGGCTGCGTTGGCTGGGTCATGAAGCCCGCAGGCCCAGCCACCACATGCCTCTAAACAGCTTTTGTTTGGTCGTATAGAGGGGGCTAGACGAGCGCGGAGAAGAGCTGGAGTGATGTGGTACGGGAGAATGTGGAGCTGAGTGGACTTGCCGGCGACTGCTACCAGCGGTGTCAAGATTGGCCTCTGGAGGAGGCTTGTGAAGGATGTTACTGGGCAGTTGGAGGCAGTCATACTTCAGCAACAGCAGAGGGCAGAGGAGAGACGCTCGCAACAACAAGCGGTGCGCCGGGTGGCTAAAACACAGGAAGTTGGCACAGGTGGAGCATCGGCCAGTCATCTCAGTCAACCCATGGTACCTGGGTCTGTCCCGTGACCTCCTGCCGGCAGGTGTTCGACACTTCACGTGGCCTTAGCGTGTGCACAGCCTGGCACAAGCGCTGTGGTGACGTCACCGTCACTTAGTGGCGAATGGCGGTTGTTGTTGTTGTGTGTGCGTTTGGGGAGCGGTAGTGGCAGCGGCTAGCACGCTGCGCTACGAACTTGGCGACCCGAGTTCGATTCCTGCTCACGGCCAACACCAGTGGCGATTATTTGAACCAGTCCTGAGCCTCCCCTCGGTCGACTCGGCCTCAAATGATGACCTGGTGCGGTGTGTAAACCTCACCACTGGGGAGACAAAGGCGGTCGGGTGTGGTGCTGGTCACCCACCCCCTTATGTGCCATGCCGGCCTTCATAAATGCTCACTACCAGCACTTGCCCTTAACAGTCTGTTTAGGCTATAAGGGGGATCTTTGTCTTTTTTTTTGTGCGCGTGTGAGTGCACCTTGAATACTACTAAAACTATGTTATTTACCAGGTAAGGCTGTAAAGCTCTTTTCAGAAGCGACCTGGCCACAACTGATAGCTCAACGAAGTGGCTTATCGCGTGGAAATGTACAGCAGTCGAATAACTCTAAAACGCGTGACGTTCATTCAAAATCTGGAGGAGAGAAAACTGGAAGACCCACATGACAAGAAATCTACGCGACCAAGGGGAGAGAGAGAACACACGGACTCCAAATATACAACGGGCGACGTCGGGGTAGCGATCGAACCGATGACCTCCCGCTTGTGACCTCTGCCCGTTGACCTTTCCCCCCCCCCCCACCCCCCTCCTGCCGTGCAGGTGCAGTTCGTGTTGGTGCAGGCCCACATCGCCCAGTTCTTCTTCCTCAAGGACTGCCCCTACAACTACCCCATCTTCCTCTACATAATTTTCGTCTACGGCCTCGTCTTCCTCATCCTCTTCCTCAACTTCTGGTACCAGGCCTACACCAAGGGCCTCCGCCCGCCTAAGAAGCTGGAGGGGGGCGCGGCGGGCGGCGACGGGTACCGCCGTCGCCACGACGACAACCACCACCACCACCACGTCGCCAACGGCAACGTCGCCAACGGGCAGCTCAACGGCAAGCACAAGGCCCAGTGACGAGGGGGAGGAGCCCTCCGTGCGGTCGTCGTCGTTCTCGTCACGTGGAAAATTCCGCCGGCGTGACGCGCTTGGGACGACGATGATGATGACGATGATGACGACGACGTTAACGATGACGATGACGTTAACGGTGTAGATAATGGTAAGGGGTGACGGTGGCGACGATGACTTTGGTGACGACGAGGATCGCGGTTACAACCGATGCGACGACGATGTTACTCGGGACCAGGATGATGACGGCGATAAGCGCGACGGCAATGATGGCGCTGAGGATGATGACGACGACGACGATATTGACAGTGACCACAAAGATTTTGATGTCTTTTACGACAATGACGACGACTATGAAGACGACGTCAATGATTATTATGACAGACGACGACCGAGGCTGACTGTGGATGACGGCGGCAATAGCGGGGACTGCGATCGTTAGTGACGAGGTCGACAGCGGCTGCGACGACGACGACCATAAGTGCCGGCGACGACGACGATGGCGGCGGCGACGACTACGTTAACGTCCGCGACTGAGCACTAAGGCATTGACGACGACGATGATGATGATGGCGATGGTAACTGCAGAGGCGAGGAGGGTTGTGACCACGAAGTGACGACCACGGTGACGCGATGGCAATGAAGAAACGGTGACGACTCCTCACGTGACCCAACCACACTGGTGGGGGGAGCCGAACAACAACTCCCCCCCCCGACCCCCCCCCCCCCCCCCCCTCTAAATATTATTTATGACGCGCGCCGAAACCTCGTCACGGTGGAGAGAGAAGGGGGCGGGGGGTGCCGGGAGGGCGATGCGGGAGGGGCGAGCTGACGATGATGACGAGGGCGGGGGGCGCGTGCGCGTGTTGACCGGTTGGTGGACAGAATAAAGAGGTGATCGCCAGTGAGGGAGCCGCAGTGGCTGAGCCGTGGTCATTTGCTGAGCCGAGGTCGCCGCTCGCGGCTCGTCGTGCGGTCGTGCCGGCGTCCACTTGGTCCGGGGTAAAGCCTCTCGCCCTTACCCGGCAACCGTTGGAACGACATCGCACGACGCCCCCGCCAATCGCTATCTCCTTCCTCCACCACCACCACCGCCTGAGTAGCTCTCGCGGCAGGCACCGGTTGGGCCCCCCAGCTTTGCGGGCCAAGTCGTGGCGGTGGGGACGGGGGGGGGGGGGCCACGGCTTACGCTTGGAAAGCAGAAACAAAGCTGATTTGCCAAATCGATTTTGTTTTTGACGTGGTACGTCGCGTGCAGAACGAATGAGCGGGGTGGGGGGGGGGGTGGCGGGGGTAGGTCGGAGGTCATCGTCGCGATGGGTGGGGATGGCATGTTGACGTCCCGAGTTATTTTTTTTTCCATCGGGAGTTTAGTCGGCTCTGGGTCCGGTGATCCCAAAACTGGGCGCGGGATTGTCCCGTGCGAAAGATTCCGGAAAGAAAAAAAATATCGGCGGCCGTGTCGCCATGGGGTCTCCCACCCCCCGCGCCGCCCGCCGAGAAACGTCTCTCCGTCCCTTCGTCTCTGTCCCTCCGTCCCTTCGTCTCTGTCCCTCCGTCGCTGTGTCTCTGTCCCTTCGTCTCTGTCCCTCCGTTGCTCTGTCTCTGTCTCTCCGTCCCTCCGTCTCTGTCCCTCCGTCGCTCTGTGTCTCCGTCTCTGTCCCTCCGTCGCTCTGTGTCTCTGTCCCTCCGTCCCTTCGTCTCTGTCCCTCCGTCGCTCTGTGTCTCTGTCCCTCCGTCCCTTCGTCTCTGTCCCTCCGTTGCTCTGTGTCTCTGTCCCTCCGTTGCTCTGTCTCTGTCCCTTCGTCCCTTCGTCTCTGTCCCTCCGTCGATCCATCCCCTCCGTCTGTCCCTCCGTCCGTTCGCCCATCCCTCTGTAGTGCCGTGGATGGGCCGCACCGTCTACCACCGCCGGTAAGTGCGGCCCCTCTTCGGCACTGCACCTCCATCCGTCCGGCCAACAACGTCCGAGGCGAGCCCCTCGCCCTGCGATACAATCGTCTTCGCAGGGCCTGTTGAAGCTTGGCAAACTTTCCGAGTGTAAGCTTGATACCCGCATTCTCCAGATCAAGGGGCACTAACCCCCTCCGCTCCCCCGCCACCCCACCTCTGTGAAGTTTAAAGTAGAATTTGGGGGGGGGGGGAGGGGAGGGGTAGCCGTGCGTGCGTGACCAGATTTGTTTAACTTTACAGACGCATCGGGCGCAAGTTTTCTGCGTGGGTTTGGTCACGCTCTCCGGAGCGCCTTGCGATGCGGGAGAATACGGTGAATGATAGTCGCAATAATATTAATTGTAATAATGATCAATTATAGATGAGCTGGCGGATGGTTTAATGGATGCAAAACTAACACGGTATATATTTGTCTCCCCACCACCCACCCCCCTCCCCCTTTACAAAAATGGTGCTCTTTTATCTGTGCGTCGGTGTCGTCCACTGTGTCGCAGTATTAGAGGGCGACTACGCTCGCTCGCTCGCCCCACCCATCGTCGCCCCCGCTGGCCGTCGTACGAACCCCACGCTCCGCTCCGCGTGCTGGGGCTGCGTCGCGAACCGAGCCGCCCGCTCGCCCTCTCTCTCGCTCGCCCTCTCGCTCGCCCGCTCGCTCGCCCGCTCGCTCGCCCTCTCGCTCGCCCTCTCGCTCGTCCTCTCGCTCGTCCTCTCGCTCGTCCTCTCGCTCGCCCTCTCGCTCAGACAGCGCTGCCAACTCGGCCGCGCCGGTTCTTGATGTAGATTTTCTCGACGCAATTTTTTTCTTTCTTTCTGTAATCGAAGCGGCAACGCGAGCCCGCGCTAGTGCCTCGAAACGTCGGACGTCGCGCCGAACACCATGGGGGTGGGGGGGGGCAGCACGACCACGGAGGACGTGTACAGCAGGGGGCTGCGCTCGCTAGGAAGAGGCGCAAGTCGATCCGTTCCCGTGCGTGCGCCCGCCATCAAATACCAAACTTCGGTGGTGGCGAAAGTTTCGCGAAGTTATTCCGCGGTCAATGAATGAATGAGGCGGGGGGGGGGGGAGGAGGGGGGAGGAGGGGGGGGGGAGGAGGGGGGAGGAGGGGGGGGGGGGACCCCCTTTGTCAGCGAATGAATGAACGAATGTGGGGGCTATTTGCGTCTTTCTCGACGGTCGCTGCGTTGTTTGACGTTGCTTCGCCGTACGATTGGTGGGGGTGCACGCGATGCCCCCCCCCCCCCGCGCTGGCGAGTGGTGGAGACGGAATTCACGGGGGGGAGGAAAGAAACCAACCACAAACTCCGTCTGCTGCCTTTTGCGCGCTCGTCCAAGCGTCTCTCCGCTCTGGCGAGTCCCCCCTGACCCCAGCCAGTGATAGAAATTACACATTCCCATGACGGTGGGGGGGGGCCAGTCCATCCCCAGGATAAAAATAATAATAATCACCCCGGATATGCCCCCTTTGTGTTCACGATTTGGTTTGAGGTTCCGGCTTAATTTCACGTACCCCCCCTCCCTCCAAAAAGGTGTTCCCTCACCCGACACACCGCATCCAGTATATACCTCCTCTCGCTTTCGCCGTGCCTGCCGCTTGCGTGTCGTCGACCAACGTGGTGGGTGGGGGTGGGTGGTGGTGGGTGGTGGTGGGTGGTGGTGGGTGGGTGTGGATATTGAAGCGAAGCGCGGGTGGCGTTCGATCTCCTCGGGCCGCGATCGTTCCGCCGTTCAGTGCCATGGAGACGTCCGCCCCCCCCCCCCCCCCCCCCCCCCGGGGTCCAGGAAAATGTTGTTGGCCAGTTCCGCTTTGTTGTTCTCCTCCTGTTTGGCCGTTTCTGCTTTGTTGTTGTGCTGCTGCTGCTTCTTCTTCCTCCTCTCGCCTTGTACAAAATTTAAAAAAAGAGAAGGAGAAAGGTGGAAAAAGATCCCTGGCGGATGAGGAGTGATTAAGTAACCACTTGAATTTATAACGCTCTCTGGACGTAAGGTGAATGTGCGAGTGTTTATTTTTTTTGTGTGTGGTGCGGTTCGCCCGCAGAGCTACGAACCCGACCAACCCGGGTTCGATTCCCGCTCGCGGCCAACACCACCCAGTGACGATTATCTGACCCGCTCCCTGGGCCTCCCCAAGGTCGACGCGGCCTCAAATGAGGACCTGGCGTGGTTTAGACGTAAGGGGGGGGGGGCCGGGCGTGGTTCCGGCCACACTGCTAACCTCGTTTGCCGTTCTGACATTCATGGCCTGACGTGTGTGGCTGGGACTGGACCTGTGTGTTGGGGAGATGTCCGCGCGCACGTGCTTTCCATCCTGCTCACCTCCGGTTCCACTCGTGGCCACGTCCAAAAAGAAAAAAACCTGGATCGGATCTCCGCGGCGAGGTTGGCTCGGCGCGCGATCGGCATCGACCGCGCGGCATCGTGGCGCTGCGCGGCGAGGCCGGGAAGCCGAAGGCGCCCCGTGTGTGTCCGTGGCACTGTCCACACGCCGCCTCCCCCCGCAATGTATCATGGCCACCTTTAAAATAGGTGCTCGCGAACGAAACCTCAAACCTCAACCGGCGTAATTGTTTCCGTCAGGAGTGTGTGCGCGCGTTGAGTACCACTTTGTCGAAAAGCCAACCGTGGTTGTGCTGTGGCTGTAGAGACCTTCCCGTGTCACAAGTTCAAATCCCGGTCTGGGCTTTGACACCGACACCGACACCATCATCATCATTTAGTCGGGAGTTCATAAATTATGTACTACCTTCTGGGACGTCGACAGTAAATGTCCGGGGGTGGGGGGGCGAAGAGGCTGGTGTCACCCCCCCCCCGACCCCCGCCATAGAAATGTGGAATTTCCACGACTGAGGCTCGGGGGGCTGCAGCCCCTCTAAGGCCCCCCTCTCTGGGCGTCGTCGTCTGTGCCCGTTTTGGAAGTGACCACCGGGGGTGGGGAGGGGGAAATCAAAATAAATCGATGTCGAAACCGCACCGATCCTTGTCTCCACACGCAATCGATTAGTCCCCTCCCCTACTCCCCCCCCACCCCCTAGGACCTATGACGTAAGAATTTGTTGATGGTCTTGTCTATAAACTATGCTCGCGTCGGGAATGATTTAAGGAAAGTGAGAAGATTATATATGTATTAAATTAAATCCAGATCGCCGACCGGCCTCTGCTCAGCAATGTCGTGGCACGGGGCCAGGGCGAGTTGTGTCAAGTCGATGGTCACAACGACGGGCGACCTCTGTCAAATGCCTCCGCCACCCCCGGCTGGTGCTTACGATGATGGGTCGACAGCCCGCTGGGACGATCGGATGGTCGCGCTCATGTTGGTGCGTGCGTGCGTGTGTGGCGGAGGTGGGGGGGTAAATTGTGGGTACTCCCCTCCCCCCCCACCTCCTTCCAGGACGTACTGGCCGGCGTGGAAGAGTAGGCCAATACGATTACGATGCCCTCCCCGAGGTAGAAACAGTCGAGCTCACCTGAAGGGAGAGGCCCGTACGCCGGCAGCCAGTGGCGTGACCAGGCAAGGCCAGGGGCTGCCCATTTAAAAAAATAATTGAGAAGCCTCCCCAACCCCCCCCCCCAACGGGGGTTCGGTATTGCGACCCCCCCCCCTCCCCGTCTGTGCCTTCCTAAAAATGTCCAATCCCATGGCCCGAAAAATAGATTTTTGGTACCACCTGGAGGTGGCAAATGCTACCAATGATTTTCTTGAAGCTTTGTGTATCTCTCCTAGATATAACGATTATTTATGGTAGCAAGGTCGACGTGGTAGTTTTTTTTTGTTCGAGGAAAGCAGTCGTTGGAGGGTAAATCTGAACTGAAACATCATCGTTGTCGGCATCATCGTAAACACATTTGGTATCGGCGCTTGTGCTTGATAGAGCGAAAGCTGTGGCCAAGGCGCTATGCATCTCACACGCGCACACGCGCACATTCTGCAGGCGCGCAGGGCGATGTTGTAATTAGCGGTGGGGTAAAAAATTATTTTCAAATTATAGCAACATTTGGCCCGCGACACCTGGCACGCAATGGGCCGCACTACTGGTTTCTTTTTAAAAAAAATGTCACGGAAGGGGGATGTGGTGTGGTGGAGGAGAGGTGGGGGTCATTAGCGTTTACTGTGAGTGTAGCAGACGGCGCATAGCAGCAGCAAAAAGCATTTTACGAGTTAATACGTCCGCAGTATTAACCGGTGCGGCTCGCCAGATGCGAACCGCAAACCTCTCTGCAACAGCAAGCGGGCGCGAATGCTTCGGCCGTTTCGCACGACCGCCGTGGCCGCTCCCGCTTAACGGGATGCTATGAAAATGAATATCGTGAGTTGCGCGCGCGCGCGCGTGTGTGCGTGTGTACATATATGGAACGCAATCTTCCGAACGAACGCTCGGCTTTCTTCTGCCCATGGTGGATTCTGGTAGCGATTCCCTCCGCCCCCCCACCCCCCGAGTGGTACCGACTAAACCCTGCCCACCTTGCTTCTGCTTGGCCCATGCTGTTGGGTGTCCATTTTGTGGTGTCTGCATCGGCACGCGTTGGCTGGCACGTGTTGACTGGCACGCGTTGACGGGCACGTGTAGAATGACTGGCACGTGTTTGTTGACCGAGCGGCACGCGTCTGCTGTCACGTGTCAACTGTCACGTGTCGAAATCAACGCGTCATCAACGCGTTGACCGGCACGTGTTGACCTCAACGCATCGTCAGGTTACACGATAACTTGATTTAACATTCTTACTTTTATAATATAAAAAAACGAGGAAGATATTGTTTCACTCATTATTCCCGTCGTCCGTCTGGTAAAGAATAATAGTAATAAAATTAAAAAATGGATGCTTAAATATTTTGTGGATGGAATTTTTTTTTGGTTTGTGTGAAACCCCCCCCCTCCCCTCCCCCCCCCCCCCCATTTACCGCCACCACCATCGTAAACAAAAAAAAATGTCATGAGAATCGGCAGCAAAAATAATACAAAAACAATTAACAGCAAGAATATAACCATCATTTTCTCGCCAAGTATCATCATGGTTGTTATTGACATGAAAAAGACAAAACCGCGTGCTGTTCCCGTGATGGGATGTGGCGAGCACGATCCGACTTGCGATCCAGAGGACGCAGGTTCCATTCCACGTCCCGACGCAGCAGTTGAAGCAATGGAGAAGGGGGGGGGGCAGTGCCGGATTATCCTCGTAGCAAAAGTAACTACTACATATGTAGTAGCTACACGTGTAGTAGCAGTTACGGGCCTCGCACTTTCAAGGGCCCCGCGCTAAATGCTTTCAAGCTATCAATTCCGGTTCAGTGATTCCGCACTTGCTCTATTACTATAGTACTATACCGCCTTCAACTTTACGAACGACTGGGTGTTTAAGGTTAGCGATTTGTCGTATTATCTGGCTGTATAGCAAATGAAAAAAATACAATTACTTTACTATGCAAGTAAAACTTTTTTAATACTTGTGGTTTTTGTTTTTACATTTAGGGCCCCTTTGTAACATATTCTCCAGGCCCCCCCACTAGCTTCATCGCCGCCTCTGTCCTCCCAGCAGTGGAGATGGCTTGACTTGCGGGAAGCCCACGTGGTGGTGGTGGTGGTGGGGTAAAGTGTGGGTGCATACCACCACCTCTTCCAAGACGTCTGGCGAGCGTGAGGAGAGGCTCACCTGGAGCTCCCTTAGGGCGAATGGACCCTTTCCGCCAGCAGTGTCGTGAGGCAGGCAGCTTGCAAGGCTGCGCCTTTACACCTACGCAGTACTGTACATCTAAATCAATTTCAACTCTATTTTAATTTGTTTTACCAGCTAAGGCACCACCTGGCTATGTAGCTCTTTTTTTAGACGCGACCTGGCCACATGAAATCCCAACGCAGCGGCTTATCACCACGTGGAAATGTTTGGTGGCCAAATACTCTAAACGCCTGAGTGGCCACGCGACCACAGGTAGAACACGCAAGCTCCAAATATCCAGCAGCAGACGTCAGGGTCGGGATCGACCCACGACCTCCTGTAGGCAAAGGTAGTTAACATCTCTAGATTTAAAGCTTTCGTGACTGCTAGGATCCATACTCTTTGGTTCTATTGGGTAAAGTCACGTAGGTAAAAAATAAAATAACACCTACGTGACTTTACCCAATAGAACCAAAGAGTATAGTGAACATCTCGCCATCAGCTCAAGCCTCTCGTAAATCACGTGACTTGTGTGTGCCCCCCCCCACCCCCAACAACTCTGAATCGCTCCGCCCCCTGTGAAAACAAACGCTGCTCAGTGAGTGCAGACACTGGTGGTGGTTTGAAAAAATATGAATGAACTACTTCAGCGGTGTTTCTGGGTGTGGTTGTTCCACCTGATGAAGATTGCTTGTGTTGCGATCGAAACGTCGTGAATTATTTTATTTTATTTCTACCTACGTCACTTTACCGAAAGAACCATAAAGTATTGGCTAATATAATGAGCCAAGAATGTCTGTGTGTAACGCGCGTGACGTCACTCCACGTGGACCAGCCCCCCCTCATTAATAATCATGAACGGGTGACGTCACTCGCCATGAACAAGGTGGAGCAGAAACTAAAAATGTGTTGGCGCAAAGAACTTTAAATTTTCACCTTTATGCAAAGTGAAGCTAATGAAGACATCAACGCAGCAACTAATATCACGAACGAAATAAACGCTGTGTGTGTGTCCCGCGCGTGACGTCACTCGACATGCACCGCCCCCCACCCTCATTATTATGCACGTGTGCCTGCCGGCTATGACACATTTTTCTACGCTAATTCGCTTTAGATTTCACGTATCTTTATACAAAGTCAAGGCAATAAATAATTCTACGCCGCTTCGCAGTGCATTTGGTGGCTTTTTTTTATTTCTTCGCCACCTCAAACAAAAGCTACGTCTACTTTGGGCCGTCCATAAATGACGTCACGCACCTGGGTGGGGTGGAGGGGTCAGACATTTTGACGATGGGGGGGGGCAGAGCTTTGTGACGTCATATTTGATGCTACATTAAATATGTCCCTGCTACTTTGCAGACATGATATCGAATTCCAATTCTTTTCAACCCCAGCGAGCGAAAGCGGACGATAACGAAGCATCAGAGCGGTTAATTTAAAGGGATTAAATACAGTGCTACTGTGACATTAGGGGCCGTCCATAAATGACGTCACGCACCTCGGGGGGGGGGGGGGTGTCAGACATTTGTGACGATGTGTGACTGGGGGGGGGGGTTTGAGAAATGTGACGTCACATTAAATACGTACTACAATGACAAAAGTTTAAAGCGATTTGAAGCATGTTTAATCTTTTTTTTTTGTGGGGGGGGGGGGGGGCAGAGCTTTGTGACATCATATTTGAGAGGGGGGGGAGTCAAAAATCGTCCAAATCGCGTGACGTCATTTATGGACGGCCCCTTACGTCAGGTGTTTTCTGGAACAGTTACGTGCAACAACCACTGTGCCATTAATGCAGTGCTGCCCTCAAATGCTGCGCGACATTTCCTAACACATTTTACAATCGCACAACAAAACGCCAATGTACATCTTTAATATTGCAGCTTACGTCCTGGGACGGGCAAACAGAGCTAGTAAAATAATAAATTTAAAAAACACCAGTTGCTACATTCGTTGCGTGCGACTGCCTGCCATGCGACTGTGGAATGGCTCTGAAAAGCCCCCGCTGTCGAGGAACACGTGCACGGGTTGCCACTAGCAACGGCGCGGGTGCGTCAGGTGAGAGCCGTTTGTGAGCACGCGCAGCAGTGGGCGTGGCGGTCGCCATGGCACCGCTTTCACCACGCGGGGAGGGAGGGAGAATGGGGGTGTGGTGAGTGAGGGGGGGGGGGGATACGAGGGGGGGGGGGTACGAGGGGGGGTACGAGGGTGGGGGGGGATACGAGGGCGGGGGGAATGCGAGGGGGGGATACGAGAGGGGGGGGTAAGAGGGGGGGGGGGTAGAATACGAGGGCGGGGGGCAAACGAGGGGGAGGGGGGGTACGAGGGGGAGGGGGGTACGAGGGGGAGGGGGGTACGAGGGGGAGGGGGGTACGAGGGGGAGGGGGGTACGAGGGGTGGGGTACGAGGGGTGGGGTACGAGGGGGAGGGGGGTACGAGGGGTGGGGTACGAGGGGTGGGGTACGAGGGGAGGGGGGTACGAGGGGTGGGGTACGAGGGAGGGGGATACGAGGGGGGGGGGGCGAATGTACAGTGAGAAGTGTAAAAAACCCTCAGAATATAAAATTAATAATGTAATCAGGCTGCAGGGAGATTTCAAAAAGCCGGGCCGGATCGCCAAAAGTCCGGCGCCTGGAACGCTTGGAAGCGGCCTGTGTGGATGTTTATAATGGAACCGATCCTGGGGGTGGAGGGGGGAATGGAATCTCAGTCCGAAGCAAAGTTCACCGGTGTTTGCGCTGCACGAGACTCGCTTTGTTGATGAGACCCTCGGCTGTCAAAACCCCCTGCACGGTTTTCTTGTGCTGCTCATAACGCTCGTGAAATGATTCGCTCTCAAACAATGCAGTTTGGGGGGCGGTGGGTGGCGCCGATGGGGTTGTGTAAGGAACGTTTTACTAAATAATTGAAAGTGCAGCGAGACGAATACATCAAAGCGATGCATTGTCTGCTTTTTTTTAATTTGCTCTAAATGACCTCGTCGCATCTGGATGGACCAGGTGAGACAAATCCCAAAGCGGAGTTCCATGTTCCACACGATCCATGCCGGTGAGTCGGGGCAGCTCACTCTCACACCTTCCCCCTTTACCTGCTTAGCGAGTGCAGACCCCATCCACCCACCACCACTCTCACCATCACTCTCACCATCACTGCCTGCATCAACACCGCAACCACAGCCTCCTCCTCCTCCTGCGCCGGGGACCGCGGCTCCACCGTCTACATCAGAGGAGACCTTCCACCAACCATCTCGACCCAAACGACTTCGCCATCTGTCGTCAATTAACGCGCGTGGCGTTCTGGTAAATTGAATTTAAATTCGTGGGGTTTTTTTTTTAGTTTTGCCTCGCTCAGGACCACCTGTGTTGTGTGTATGAATATATTTATTTTGTGTGTACGTTTCGAGTTGATTTTTACGTAACCAGGCTCGATCTTAAAATGATTGATAACCTTTATTAATATTTACTAATCCAAGATAAGACGCACTAAGTTTTGTACGACTCTTGTTTTTCATAACTATCTTGAATTAGCTGTGTGTTTAATTAAAACATTTTTCAGCCGATGGATGATGATGATGATAATGATGATGAGTTGTGTTTATTATGCAAATACGCGAGTGAAAGGGGGCACCCGGGCCAATAAATTCCCCGCGCCTTGTGCGATTTTAAACGAAACGTGGCCGCCGGTCTTCCGTATTCGTTACTGCCACCTCTTCGATGTTGATACCCTATCATTATTATTATTAATTGTTCTTTGTCCGAACGTCCTCCTTCGCCGCTGAAATTTTATGTGTTATGTGGAAATCCCCGTTGAGGTCGTGGGTTTTTACAGGAGGTCGTGGGTTCGATCGCGACCCTGACGCCTGCTGTATATTTGGATTTTGCGTGTCTCTCTCTCATCATCATCATCACGGTGGCTAGGAGATGTTAACTACCTCGCCTGGTGTACAGGAGGTCGTGGGTTCAATCCCGACCCTGATGCCTGCTACTGCTGTATATTTGGAGTTCGCGTGTCTCTCTCTCATCATCATCATCACGGTGGCTAGGAGATGTTAACTATCTCGCCTGGTGTACAGGAGGTCGTGGGTTCGATACCGATCCTGACGCCTGCTGCTGCTGCTGCTGTATATTTGGAGTTCGCGTCTCTCTCATCATTATTATCACGGTGGCTAGGAGATGTTAACTATCTCGCCTGGTCTACAGAAGGTCGTGGGTTCGATCCCGACCCTGACGCCTGCTGCTGCTGTATATTTGGAGTTCGCGTGTCTCTCTCACCCCGTGGCCGCGTGAATTATTTTTCGCTCTGGGTCCTATGGTTTTTTCCCGGCACATTTAGAAACATGCATTGAGATTACTTTCTGCTATAAATGTCCAAATGACGGGGCCACTTTGTTGAGGGGCTATCATTTGTGGCCAGGTCGCTTCTGAAAAATAAGCGAATACCATCAGCGGCGTTTTTGCCCGATAGGATGAGGATGCTTTAGTTGTATTTGTTTGCGTCTGGGTCATTTGTCTTCCTCTCTTGTACTTTCCACTACCATCGTGGTTTTTTTTGTACTGTTTGTTGTAACGTTCTTACCCCGCGCCCCTTATGGATATCTACGAACATGAGCTTAATAGCTCATCGGATTCCTCCAGTGCTGGGAAGGAGCCCAGCCAGCAGCCAGCCAGCCAGGAGGGAGGGAAAACCCCGAGGTTATTAGCTTATTTTTTTTAATAGGAGTGCGATCGATGATTGACGATTTCATTGACGGCTACTCATTAAGTGAGCGTATTTGACACTAACAATGTTGGGGTTAGGTAGGGGGTCTGCGTCGAGACAGCTGGAGATTGGCATGAAATGAAATATCGGTGACAGGTCTAAATTACATTTGGGATTTTCATTAGTAAATATTTGGTGTGTGTTGGGAGGGGTTGGGGTACCACGTTAAGGTCATGGCTATCATCACGACTGATGATTATGATGACGTGGGTCTGCTCCCCGCACTGACCAGCGTGGTGAAGTATGGTCAGTGCCGGGTGGAGAAGGCCCTTCATCCAGCAGTGGATTCGCAAAGGGCTGTCTGTGCATTGAGGTGCGCCTGGTGGGGCACAATGTGGGTAAACTGCACAAATCTGGCTCTCCGCCTGATGAAGCTAGTTGTAATTACTGGCGAAACGTCGTACTCAGATTGTAAATGTTGTGGCTTGGCTCTCAAACACACCGGTGGGCTGTACTAGTGACGAATTGGCAAGTTCTGTTTACGTGATAAACCTTTACTAATTGGCTGTGTCGGGTGGTGGCGGGTTTATCGGCACATGTATATATCTGCGCGATCTCACCGAAAGGAACAAACCTCCATTGTGGATAAACTGCCCAGTTGGTTGGCGCTCTCACAAGGCGCGGGTGACACGTGCACACACAAAAGACAAAGATCCCCCGTGTAGCCTTTAATAGGACGCTTTGGGGCAAGTGCTCTTTGCGAGCACCTCTGAAGGCCGGCACGGCACACGAGGGGGTGGGTGGCCAACACCATCCCCGGCCGCCTTTGTCTCCCCAGTGGCGATGTTTACACACCGCACCTGCTGATGACACTATGTAACACGATTTTTGTTCCTCGGTAGTAAGTGTTATTTTTTAATTGTTTATGCCCTCAAAGTATTGAGAATGGCTCTTATTATTCCCCACAAACTTTGCTTTTGTGACCACGACTTTACGTGAAGGAATAACATAAATACACACCACGTGTTCTCATTGAAAATAGGTACATTTCAAAATAGCACTTTCCTGGTCACAAAAGCAAAGTTCGTGGGGAATAATAGCCACTTTCTGTACTTTTGAGGCATAAGCAATTAGGAAATAACACTTATAACATGTTTTTTTGTCACACAGTGTCATTATTGGTGAAAATGTCTACTTATAGCGTGCATTATAACTGATAGTACTCCTGTTGCTGATTGAATTACTGCTGCTGTTGCTGATGATGATAATGCTACTGATCATGCTGCTGCTGCTGCTGCTGATAAATTGTTGATGATTGCATGAAGATGATAGATACTTTTGATTTAAAGCTTTCGTGACTACAGGGATTCATATTCTTGGTTCTTTCGGTAAAGTCACGTAGAAGGGAAACAATAAAATAATAAAAAAATATATAAAACAATAAAATTCTCACGACGTTTCGACTGCAACACAAGCAATCGTCATCAGGTGTAAAAAACACAGCAAGAACATTTGAAAAAAAAGTATTGCTGTAGTTTTCACACCTGATGATGATTGCTTGTGTTGCAGTCGAAACGTCGTGAGAATTTTATTGTTTTATATATTTTTTAATTATTTTATTGTTTCCCTTCTACGTGGTGACTTTACCGAAAGAACCAAAAATATGATAGATACTGCTGATGACCATGATTCTATTGTTGACGATATTGCTACTGCTGCTGATGATGATGCTGATTCTGAAGATTATTCTGTTCATGATGCGACTGCCCTTGACACTGATGGTACTGCTGCTGCTGATGCTGCTGCTGATGATGCTGCTGCTGATGCTGCTGATGCTACTAATAATGATGCTGATTATCATTATGTTGATGCTGCTGCGCTACTGATGATGACACTGATGCTTCTGCTACTAATTTTGCTGCTGCCACTGCTGCTGATTATGGTACGGATGATGATGCTGCTGCCGCTGCTGCTGATGATGCTGCTGCTGCTGATGATGCTGCTGCCACTGCTGATGCTACTGCCACTACTGCTAATTATGATGATGATGCTGATGATGCTGCTACCGATGCTACTGCCACTGTTGCTGATTATGATGATGCTACTGATGATTATGGTACTGATGATAATGCTGCTGCCCATGCTACTGCCACTGATTATGATGATGATGCTGCTGATGATGATAATGCTGATGCTGATGATTTTCATGTTTCAAGTCTGCTTTATGTTCACGGATGCGGTCCGAGATAATACTACAAGTCTAATATTTTATAGTCTAAAGTATAGGGTAGTGTATATTAACGCATTGTATAATTCAAAGGTGGGGTTTGTCTATGGCTACGATATTATACAATGTAGTTAAGATTGGAAGGTATAATATTGTAATGTATAGTAGTCCAGTTTATAGCATAGTTATAACGCAACACAGGACAGAGCAGCGCACCGTGGCTGTTTCCTCCTCCACCCCCCTCCTCCGTTCCGAACATAGATGGACTCGTCCGTCTGAACACAAGCTCGTCGCTCTCCGTGGTGTTAATCCCTCACACTAACATCATGCTAATCCCCCAGTTACATGGTAATTTACTGTTGATATGTAAACTCCTCTCCCCCCTCCTCCGTTATCACAAAAAACATCATGCTAATCTCCCCCAGTTGCATGCTAATTTATATGTAAATTCCTCTACTCCCTCCTCCGTTCCCACACCAACATCATGCTAATCCCCCAGTTACATGCTAATGTATATGTAAACTCCTCTCCCCCCTCCTCCGTTCCCACACCAACATCATGCTAATCCCCCAGTTACATGCTAATGTATATGTAAACTCCTCTACCCCCTCCTCCGTTCCCACACCAACATCATGCTAATCCCCCAGTTACATGCTAATTTATATGTAAACTCCTTTGCCAAGGCGCTCTGTTCCTCCCACACAGCTTAAAAGACGCTGTCCATGCTTGGCAGCGTTCACTCAAGCGCTGTCTTCCGGACAGTCCTGTTTCTTCACCTGAGGAAGGCTACTTGTGTTGTGGCTGAAACGTCGTGAGAACTTTAGTCTATTATCATTTATATTATTCTATCTCCATTCTACGTGACTTTACCGAAAGAACCCAGAAGAGAATAGAAATAAAGTTAAACCTTGGATTGCGAGTAACTTGGTCTGCGAGTGTTTTGCAAGACGAGCAAAATGTGTAAATAAATATTAATGTATATGTTTTATTCAAATCTCAGTCTTACGTGAGTCAGTGTACTCTATGCACATATCCGTGTCTCTATGTGAGTCTATGGGTATCTATTTAAGTATGTATATGTAAGTTTATGGGTCTGTGTGTGTCTATGGGTCTCTGTGTGAGTCTAGGGGTCCCTATGTGAGTCTGGATCTCTGAGTATATGGGTTTCTATGCGAGTCTATGGGTCTCTGTATGATTCTATGGGTATCTGCAAGTCTATGGGTCTCTTTGCGAGGCTATTGGTCTCTGTGCGAGTATATGGGTCTCTGAGTATATGGGTGTCTATGCGAGTCTATGGGTCTATATGCGAGTCTATGGGTGTCTATGTAAGTCTATGGCTCTCTATGCGAGTCTATGGATCTTTATGCGAGTCTATGGGTATCTATGCGAGTCTATGGGTCTCTATGTGAGTCTATGGGTATCTATGCGAGTCTATGGGTCTCTATGTGAGTCTATGGGTGTCTATGCGAGTCTATGGGTCTATGTGAGTCTATGGGTGTCTATGCGAGTCTATGGGTCTCTATGTGAGTCTATGGGTCTCTATGCGAGTCTATGGGTCTCTATGCGAGTCTGTAGGTCTCTGAGTCTATGGGTCTCTATGTGAGTCTGTGGGTCTCGGAGTATATGGGTCTCCATGTGACTCTATGGGTCTCTATGCGAGTCTATGGGTCTCTATGTGAGTCTGTGGGTCTCTGTGAATCTGGGTCTGAGTCTATGGGTCTATATGCGAGTCTATGAGTGTCTATGCGAGTCTGTGGGTCTCTGAGTCTATGGGTCTATATGCGAGTCTGTGAGTCTCTGAGTCTGTGGGTCTCCATGCGAGTCTATGGGTGTCTATGCGAGTCTGTGGGTCTCTGAGTCTATGGGTCTATATGCGAGCCTGTGGGTGTCTATGCGAGTGTGTGGGTCTCTATGTGAGTCTATGGGTCTCGGAGTATATGGGTCTCTATGTGAGTCTGTGGGTCTCCATGCGAGTCTATGGGTGTCTATGCGAGTCTGTGGGTCTCTGAGTCTATGGGTCTATATGCGAGCCTGTAGGTGTCTATGCGAGTCTGTGGGTCTCTATGTGAGTCTATGGGTCTCGGAGTATATGGGTCTCTATGTGAGTCTGTGGGTCTCCATGCGAGTCTGTGGGTGTCTATGCGAGTCTGTGGGTCTCTGAGTCTATGGGTCTCCATGCGAGCCTGTGGGTGTCTATGCGAGTCTGTGGGTCCCCGTGAGAGTCAGGTGACGGGGCCGAGGTCCATCGACTCCGCTGGGCTCGAGAACCGGTTTGAGCACTGGCGCGGCGGAAACTTGGAACCGATTTTATCCCTGGGGGGGGGGGGGGGGGTTTGGTTCCTCGACGTCACCGGGCCGTCGTGAATAGGCGAACCACCCCTCCCTCCCTTGCCCCCGGTATCTGCCGCGTCCACGGCACGCGCGTCGAGAGGAACGCGAACGCGCAAGAGAGGAAGAAGTCGTCTTGCGGCTGAGCGTGCGGTCGTTTCAATGCGGACACAAAAAAACAAAAAAGATCGCCCACCCCCCCCGGGTCGCCGGGTTCGTAGCGCAGTGCGCTAACCGCTACACTACCGCTACCCCATTAGGACACCCACCCACAACGTAACACATACAGACAAAGATCCCCCGTGTAGACTTTTAACAGTTGGGGCAAGTGCTGTCAGCGAGCACACCCATGAAGGCCGGCTCGGCCGCCTTTGTCTCCCCACTGCTGATGTTTACACACCGCACCAGGCATGTACTCATCTGAGGCTGAGTCGACCTAGGGGAAGCCCAGGTTCGAGTCGGGTAATGGTCACCGGTGTTGGGTGGCCGTGGGTGGGAGTCGAACTCGGGTGAACCGGGATCGTAGCGCAGGGCACTAACCACCGCTGCCCACACAGCCACACGCCCATGCACACCCGAGCCAAGTTCCGCGTTGATTTCCACTGTGCTGCAAGGCCGTAGCCATGGAGTCAACATTGGGGGTGGGGGGACCAAATCTTACAGGGGGGTCTGGGGGAGTCCGCCCCCCGCCAGAAAAAAAATCTAAATTTTAAAACGAATTTCCTGCCTAAAATATAAAAAAAATTCACTAACACATAGGAGGGATTTTGTATTTATTTTTTAACAATAATGTCTAATTGTGTATTGTATATACATTGCTCTGTTTTTACTTTTTAAAATTTCTTGTTTCATTGTATGTAATGGCAGAGATTAGGGATTAATAAAGTACAACCATAACCACAATCATATAAACAGGAATATTTTTATAGCAATATATTGGGGGAGGATATTTTGAGCATATTTGAATATTGGGGGGATGTGTGTCCCCCAATATATATAATAATTACGGCCTTACTGTGCTGTATCATACAGTATATATATAGACTGTTGTCAAGATTGCTGTCGGCTGCCAGCGAGCACCTCCCTGTCCGGTACGCACGCTGAGACAAAGATCCCCCGGATAGCCTTCACGGGCTGTTGGGGAAAGTGCCGTTAGCGAGCACCGGTTGGAACGGTACACGAGGGGGTGGGTGGCCAACACCACGCCCGGCCGCCTTTGTCTCCTCAGTAGCGATGTTTACACACCGCAACCAGGTACTCATTTGAGGCTGAGTCGACCTAGTGGAGGCCCAGGAACGGTTAAGGTAATCGTCACCGGTGTTGGCCGTGAGCGGGAATCGAACTCGGGTCGCCGGGTTTCCGTAGCGCAGGGCGCTAACCGCTACACCACCACAATCACACACACACTCACACACACACTCACACACTCACACACACACTCACACACATACACACACACACTCGCACACGCACTCACACACACTCGCACACACACTCACACACTCACACACACACTCACACACTCACACACACTCACACACACACACTCACACACACTCACACACACACTCACACAATCACACACACTCACACACACACTCACACACTCACACACACTCACACACACACTCACACACACTCACACACTCACACATACACACTCGCGCACACACACACACACTCACACACACTTTCACACACTCACACACACTCACACACACACTCACACACTCACCCACTCACTCACACTCTCACACACACTCACACACTCTCACATACACACACTCACACACTCACACTCACTCACACACACTCACACACACTCACACACTCACACACACTCACACACACACTCACACACTCACACACACACTCACACACTCACACTCACTCACACACACTCAGACACTCACACACTCTCACACACTCTCACACACACACACTCACACACTCACACTCACTCACACACACTCACACACTCACACACACTCACACAATCACACACACTCACACACACACTCACACAATCACACACACACACACTCACACACTCACACACACTCACACACTCACACATACTCACACACTCGCGCACACACTCACACACACACTCACACACACTCTCACACACTCACACACACACTCACACACTCACCCACTCACTCACACACTCACACACACTCACACACACACTCACACACTCTCACACACTCTCACACACTCACACTCACTCACACACTCACACACACTCACACACACTCACACACTCACACACTCAGACACTCACACACACTCACACACTCACACACACTCTCACACACACTCACACACTCTCACACACACACACTCACACACTCACACTCACTCACACACACTCACACACACTCACACACTCACACACACTCACTCACACACTTTCACACACTCTCACACACACACTCACACACTCACTCACACACACTCACTCACACACACTCACACACTCACACACACTCACACACACACTCACACACACACTCACTCACACACACTCACACACTCACACTCACTCACACACACTCACACACACTCACACACACTCACTCTCCCTTCCCTCCCATCTCTCAGAGTTGAGACCATGACCCACAATGGCACCCTCCTCCTCCTGCTGCTGCTGCTGCGTCTCTGCGTCTCCTCATCCTTCTCTCCACCCAAGACCACCGCCAACACATCGCCTCCGCGGTGCCGCTCGTGCAAGCCCACTGCCTGGAACGCCACAGACCCCGGCTCCTGCTGCCTCAACGCCTCTGGCCCCGGCTGCGCACGCTCCCTCGAGCAACTGAGGGCGACCTTCAACTTCACGTCGCTCCAAGTCCTCGACCTCTCCCGCTGCGGTCCGCGCAGCGTGGACATCCCCGCAGTGCCGGCCCTGCGCACCGTCTACCTCGTCGGGAACGCCTTGACCAAGTTGCCCGAGCCGTTCCTCGGCGAGGCTCGCGACCTCGCCGAGGTCTACCTGGGCGAGAACATGTTGACGCACCTGCCGCGGTCCATCACCCACAGGGGGCTGACCACTCTGGACGCGAGGGCCAACCCCATCGAGTGCGACTGCGACTTGTACGAGGCGGTGAAGAGGACGGCAGACGTGCATTATTCGTCGTCGTCGTCGTCGTTAGCGCCACAGATCCTCATCGACTGCGCGATTCCGGAGAGTTTGTCGGGACAGTCCCTGACCAACGTGTCACGCGAACACATCTGCAAGGAGTCACACACGGCGGTGTACGCGTGCGTAGGGACCGTCGCCGTGGCTCTGATAATCGCTGCGCTCTACCTGGGATGCAAGCGCCACCTCGACCCCGTCGTCTCCTCCTGCTCCTCCTCCTGTCGCCGCTGCTGCTGCCCCGGCCACAAGTCGGGCCTCAGCTCTCGAATCCGCGCCTCCGATGCCGAGCACGACAGCTACATTTACAGGCCGAGCCCTCGGCGAGAGAGAGAATTCGGCGGAGGAGGTGACCGGGCGAATGCCGGCACCTCTGACCCGAGCCCCTACGAGAATTGGCCCCTCGCAAAGGCGTCGTCCTCGTCGGCCTCGTTGTCTGCAGAAGCATCGGCGGCAACGCCAGGCACGGGTGGATCGCGGTCAGAGCTCTCGGCCGCGGTGTCGGCGGGGTTCGATCGGCGCGCCGGGTTGCTGCTGCAGATGGGCACGGGACGCCCCGAGTCTGAGTATCAGAACCTCCCCACGCCGAACAGATCCAAGGAGCATGCGATGGCGGAGGAGGAGGAGGAGGAGACGGACGTGCACGTGGAAGGTGAAGATGAGCAGGGGGGAGGAGGGGGAGGTGTCCATATACGTGAATCTACCCGCGCCCGATCATTACTACAGCCTCGTGCCACCCGTGCACGTGTTGGATGATGATGGCGGCGGTGGTGTTGGTGGTGGCGGTGGTGTTGGTGGTGGCGGTGGTGTTGGTGGTGGCGGCGTTGTTGGTGGTGTAGGCAGTGCCGGCGAGCAGGAGGTGAGGAGACAGGGAAAGTTGAGGAAGCCGTGATGTGAGAGCCAAGGACGTCGGTCGCTTCTCCAGATGAATTGAAGATCGGCGGTGATTGGTGATGGAGAGATTGTTGGGGTGCGTGGCGGTGGCGCTGCTGGTGGTGATGGTGTTGGTGGACGTTTTAAAAAAAAAAACATGACCAGGATGGTGCGGTTTTTTTTCGTTTGGATCGATTCATTTTTTTATTGTTAAACTTGTTTACCCAGGAAAGTTTGACCTAGCCTCGTGGCATTTACTCTGTTTTCAGGAGGGTTCTGATCGCTCCCGCGTGGATAATCGAATGAACTTTAAAAAAAATCAAACTTAGCAAATTTGTCACCGTGACACCGGCACGCAATGGCCAACTCTTGCCAGTGACGCCACGGGATCTTCAAACGACCACTGTGCTGCAGACGGCCGCGTATGTTGACGGTCAATACACCCGGCGTATTAATCGGGGCCGCCGTTTTTATTTGAACCGCGAAGACTCTTCAACAACGAGCCGCGAACGCGCTCCCGCTGGGCCGTGTCACTGCCCACCGATGGTTCTGAAAGGTTGTCGTCATCATCAGCGTCATTAGCAATAGCAGCGTCGTCATAATCAGCAGCGTCGTCATAATCAGCATCAGCTTACAATCATCACCACCACCGTCAATGATCATTCGCATTATCGGCAAGAGCAGCAGAAATCGCCGCCACTATCGACGAATCATCAACACGAGGGTATTAAAGCCACCTCACATCCAGTTCCGGATTATTCTAGTAGCAAAAGTAGCTACATATGCTACGGGCCCGCACTTTCAAGGGCCCTGCGCTCAATGATTTCAAGCTATCAATTCCGGTTCAGTGAATCTGCACTTGCTCTATTACTATAGTACTATACCGCCTTCAACTTTTTTGAACGACTGGGTGTTTAACATTAGCGATTTGTCGTACTGTATTTAACATGTAGACTTTCGCGACCAATATTATTCATAAAGGCTTTTGGGTTAGATCGCGTTATTTATAAATGTGTCGCAACCCTCCACCACCCAACACGGCCAATCAGTAAAAAATGTGTCACTTGACAAATGACAAATAGTTCACTACTTTAGCCCAGTAAGATTTGGTACAGTACACAAAATTCAAAAACTAGTATCTTGCACTAAAGACGAAACATTCCTGCGGAGGGAGCTGGTAGGAACGTTGGGTTGCTCGGTCAATGGCCAGGGTCAACGGCGGCACCACGTGGTGTATTCCGCAAATATGCCCGACTGTGAGGGCGGGCACAAGCCGGCGTGAGTAGGTTAAACGTTGAGTTTTTTAAGGGCACCACGGGGTGACCAGCCCCTCCCCACCCAGCCCCACCCCTCCCACCCCCCACCCAGCCCCACCCTCCCCACCCAGCCCCTCCCCACCCTCCCCTCCCCACCCAGCCCCACCCTCCCCACCCCAGCCCCTCCCCACCCAGCCCTTCCCCACCCTCCCCTCTCCACTCAGCCCCACCCCTCCCATTTTTGGATGCACGACGGACGGACGGACAAAATAATCCCCTGTGGGCTGGTGTAACCAGGAGGTTCCTACCAGTATTACCTAAATTATCAACAGAAGGTGTATATCGGATTAATTGTTTATGTGGCAGATTCTATATTGGACAGACGGGACGTAACATCAGCGTAAGACTAAAAGAACATCAAAGAAATATTAAATTATCTCAAACACAACTGTCGGCAGTGGCAGAACATGCTTGCCAACAAGGACACTCAATTGATTTTGATAGCGTGGAAGTGTTGTGTAAAACTAATTATTACTGGCAAAGACTAATTAGAGAATCCATTTAAATTGAGAGAAATATAAATAACTTTAATCGCTCTGACAGCTACAGGATTAGTGCGGCCTGGAAGCGTATTATTAAATAATACATATTACAATTCCTTATAGGGGAAACACATTAATTAACTGATTACAAACGTAGTATATAATTACAATAACCATCTCCCCCCCTCCGCCCCCTTCTGATCTCTGCACCTGCTTGGGTATAATAATTGGGTTAAGTTATTGAATAATACACATTACAACTAATTACTAATCTGCAACTGAATTTTGATGTAAAGCTTTCGTGACTGCAGGGATTCATATTCTTGGTTCTTTCGGTAAAGAACCAAGAATATTAATCTACAACTGATTTCTAATCATGACCATTGACTGATTACTAATCTATTATATAATTACAATACCCCCCCCTCCGCCCCAAATCACTGCACCTGAATGAGTTAAATGATGACGTCACCCTGCTGCTCTATTTAAGACCGGGAGCAAGTGGAGGGCTTCACTATTCTGGCAAATTGCCCGATGATGCTGGATGTAATTACGAGCGAAACGTCGCACTCAAAAATTGTAAATGTGGTGGATTCACTCTTCAATACACCGGTGGGCTAAAGTAGTGAACTATTTGTCTTGTGTCAACGTGACACATGTATTACTGATTGGCCGTGTCGGGTGGTGGAGGGTTGCGACACATTTATAAATAACGCGATCTAACCCCAAAAACCTTTTATTATATTTTGTGGTATTATCTGTCTGTATAGCAAATGAAAAATACAATTACTTTACTGTGCAAGTAAAGCATAGTGTTTTAATATTTACGTGTTTTCTTTTTATTTAGGGCCCCTTTATAACAAATGCTACAGGCCCCGCACTAGCTTCATCCGGCACTGTTCACATTGTCATCATCATCATCATCGGCTCCAACTCATGATAAGGATTCATCAGCTGCACCCAATCATCATCAGCAACTGGTAGCCATTAATCAGCAGCATTGAACCATCAATTATCATCAGCCCCGTCATCGAACCATCATCATCCGCATCACTGTCATCGGGAAATTATCATCATTACCAACAGCCAATCATCATCCCTCCGTGGTCTCTAAATTGGTTACAAATCGAGGCTCATCCGGACGTTGCGTGGCGAGTGTTCTCGACAGCAGTTGGCGAAACGCTCCCGAAATCTCCCATCAAATATGAAAGCGTTAGAGGCGCGGCCTTGAAATCGATCACATGCTCACTGGTCGGGGATGGCCTCCCCACTCGTGGGAAGCCTCTGGAGAGAGGCTATTCTTGGCCTACTCTTCCACTCTGGACATATGTCAGGGAAGAGGTGTAGTCATTCCACACATCACTAATGTAGAATGTGTTTAAAGAAATCCGAGCTCTTCTTCAACTCCACTGGCTCCCCATTCGCTACACCGCTGCCTTTTCAAATATGACCGCCAGTCCGTGGGTCCCTTGCCACACCTCATTTCGCCTCTGTCATCTCCTTCCATGCTCCCTCTCGTCCTCTTCGTCCCGCAATCCTCTCTCTCTCTGTCCCTCCTCACCGTGCCCAATCCCCGCGTTTGATCCGTCTCCTTCCTTGCACCCCTCCACTGGAATCAACTTCCCCTCTGCATTACGCAGTCCTCCTCCCCTTAACCTCGTTCCGTTCCTCTCTTAAAGCCTCGCCTCGTCCCCATTCCCTTCCTCTTCCCTCCCTTATCCTCTCCACTCCTTCCTGTCCCCCCCCCCCCCCCCCCCCCCCCCCATAGCCAGTTCGTGATCCCAAAGTACCCCCCTCTCGCTCTGCTGCCACTCATTCCCCGATGCGTGTTACGCCCCTGGCACCTGCGCTGTTCCATTTCGCGTCACCGTATCGTGAGGCGCGTCGCGAAGCGCCTTGAGTGGAGGCGCTCTTTAAATACGACTGCGATTGTACTACCGCCCCAAGACGGACTGTGGTCGTCTCAAAGCCCCCCCCCCCCCACCGGCGGACCCCCCCCTGCTGACCCCCCCCCCCTGCTGACCCCCCCCCCCCCGCCCACCCTCACAACCTCCACCTAAAGCGGCCCAACCCACCCACCCCCCTCCTGTGTACGAGAGGGAGTGGTGCGGGGCTGGGCCAACACGAGAGAGGCGAGGGCCTTCAAGAGGGAAAGGTGCTGAGCCGCAAGAGGCTGCGGGTGGTGGAGGGGTGGTGGGGGGGGGGGGTAGCACGTGGAGGGGTGGTGGGGGGGTAGCAAGGGGTGGTGGGGGGGTAGCACGCGGAGGGTGGGGGGGGGGGTAGAACGCGGAGGGTCGTCTCTTGTCTTTAGCCGTCCTCGATCAGAGGGGTTGAACCGCAACCACGGCCAATCGTTGGCGATTGATTCGTGTCCCCTACCTGTCCTCTCGTTGTCTGCTCCAGCGTGAGCCTCGTCCACCACGCTTTGACGTTATCCCTCTGTGGTCTTCCTCGTGCACGTGGGCTGGGTATTGCGCCCTGCACAATCTCCCTTCTACAATGGGAGAGAGGCCCCAAAGAGGACGTAGCCAACAGAGGTGTGGACCTTCATTACAGAAGTCTGGACCTTCCCTACACGGGTGTGGACCTTCCCTACAGAGGTTTGGACCTTCCCTACAGAGGTGTGGACCTTCCCTACAGAGGTGTGGACCTTCCTTAAATAAGTTTGGACTTTCCCTACAGAGGTGTGGACCTTACCTACAGAGGTGTGGACCTTCCCTACAGAGGTGTGGACCTTCCCTACAGAGGTTTTGGCCTTTCCTTCAGAGGTTTGGACCTTACCTACAGAGGTGTGGACCTTACCTACAGAGGTGTGGACATTCCCTACAGAGGTTTTGGCCTTCCCTACAGAGGTTTGGACCTTCCCTACAGAGGTGTGGACCTTCCCTACAGAGGTTTGGACCTTACCTACAGAGGTGTGGACCTTCCTTACAGAAGTTTGGACCTTACCTACAGAGGTGTGGACCTTCCCTACAGAGGTTTAAACCTTCCCTACAGAGGTGTGGACCTTCCCTACAGAGGTTTGGACCTTCCCTACAGAGGTGTGGACCTTCCCTACAGAAGTCTGGACCTTCCCTACACGGGTGTGGACCTTCCCTACAGAGGTTTGGACCTTCCCTACAGAGGTGTGGACATTCCCTACAGAGGTGTGGACCTTACCTACAGAGGTGTGGACCTTACCTACAGAGGTGTGGACCTTCCCTACAGAGGTGTGGACCTTCCCTACAGAGGTTTTGGCCTTTCCTTCAGAGGTTTGGACCTTACCTACAGAGTTGTGGACCTTACCTACAGAGGTGTGGACATTCCCTACAGAGGTTTTGGCCTTCCCTACAGAGGTTTGGACCTTCCCTACAGAGGTGTGGACCTTCCCTACAGAGGTTTGGACCTTACCTACAGAGGTGTGGACCTTCCTTACAGAAGTTTGGACCTTACCTACAGAGGTGTGGACCTTCCCTACAGAGGTTTGGACCTTCCCTACAGAGGTGTGGACCTTCTCTACAGAAGTCTGGACCTTCCCTACACGGGTGTGGACCTTCCCTACAGAGGTTTGGACCTTCCCTACAGAGGTGTGGACATTCCCTACAGAGGTGTGGACCTTACCTACAGAGGTGTGGACCTTCCCTACAGAGGTGTGGACCTTCCTTACAGAAGTTTGAGCCTTCCCTACAGAGGTTTTGGCTTTTCCTTCAGAGGTTTGGACCTTACCTACAGAGGTGTGGACCTTCCCTACAGAGGTGTGGACCTTCCCTACAGAGGTGTGAACCTTCCTTACAGAGGTTTGGACCTTCCCTACAGAGGTGTGGACCTTCCCTACAGAAGTTTGGACCTTACCTACAGAGGTATGGACCTTCCCTACAGAGGTTTGGACCTTCCCTTTGACTTCAAGTGATACGAGCATAGAATCGGACACCTGTGGCAGGTAGCAGCGCGACTTCAGTGTTGTAGACGCGGCCACCATGGGTTGTTAACAGAATAACAACCCATGGTGGTGACCACCAGGCGAACTACACTAGCTACTACACTAGTTACAACACTAGTTACTACACTAGTTACAACGTAACTGCTACTACGGACCG